GGCATGGTGGTGCACACCTGTAATCCTAGTACTTGGGAGGCTGAGGCAGGAGGACTGCTGTGAGTTTGAGGCCAGCCTGGACTACATAGTGACTTCAAGGCTCAGTCTGGACTACACAGCAAGACCTTCTCTCAAAGAAAAAAAAAAAAAGAAGAAAGTAAAAAGGAATCCAGATGTGTTATATACATGTACCAGCTTTGCATGATGAATATAATCATTATGTACTGCAAAAATGTATGGAAAAAACCATAGACATTACCAAAAAAAAAGGCAATCATCAAGGACAGACACAGACACTGAAGTTCCTGCCCTCCTTTATGTTTTTTTCTTTACTGTTTTGCTACCAGGAATTGAACCCAGAGCCTCTTGCTTCTGGACAGCGCTTAGCTGCTGAGCTACATCCTCAGCCTCCTGCCTTTCTTTGAAATAGGTTACAAAGTCACAGTGGAGAGTGAATTGGTTAATACTGAGTCATTGCTCCTGAAGGAAATATAAAGTTACTTTCCTGTAAGCCTCTAGTCACATTTTTGAAAAAGAAGATTAATACATACCCTTGTTTTATATGTGGTTCTGTTTAAGGATACCTTATTTGTCATAAATTGTTGATGGATATTGAACTCAGGGTGCTTACTTCAGCAGCATATATACTAATATTGAACTCAGGGCTTAACAGTACTATAGCTACACCTGAACAAAGCAACATAGTATTTTCTTCTCAAGATGTATCACAATTTTAGCACTAGACAGCTCTTTAACACTATGCTGTTCCCATTTCAAATAGCAAAATCACCCAAAAAGGATTCAAAAATAGGCTGGAGATGTAGCTCAGCAATAGGAACGGCATGCGAGGCCCTCAGTCCAATCTTCAGCACCAAACAGTAACTCCCCACAACCCAAAACACACAGTGGTAGCATTAATAGGTGGCAGCGACCCTCTGAAAGGGACACTTGATCACAGTATGAGAACTGAAACAAGGCAGTGTTCTTTCCTGGCCTCCACTAGGAACATGGCATTACGCGTAAATAAAAATTTTCACTACTCTGCAAAAAGTGCTGGGACTACTGATTTTGAAGTTACAAATTTCAGCAAGTAGGTGAGTTCCTAAATACAGCACAATGAATAAGGAAGATTACCTGTTTTACTTAAAAAAAAAAAAAAAAGAAACAACTCCCCCCGAAAAAGGAACCAAAAGGGCCAACCTTGTCTAGAACTCAAAAAATCAAAAGGAAGCCCTGTCCTTTGAGCATCTGGAGTAATTTTTCACACAACCCTTGCCAAGAGATGACTGAGCAGCAAAGTTCTCTGCAATGGCAAATGCTAATATAAACACATCCCTCTATGCTAAAAAGGACACTCTAAAAAAAGACAAGACTTGGTTACTGAGAACTCCAAATTTTTTGATTGTCCCTTCAAACTGTGCTTTCTATCCCTGCTGGCCAAACCCAAACACTCCCTCAACATAGGAAAACAGGCTGTTCAATAATCACAGAATAAAATGAGTCAACTCCATTAAGTTTCAATTCTGCTTTTTCTTTTTTTTTTTTTTTCAATTCTGCTTTTTCTGATAACTATACAATTAGTATTTTGTATCCAGGTACCCCACAGTCATTAAGGCAACAAAGGGAAGAACTTCAAAAAGGCTATCATGTATAAGAATCCCCTCACTCAAGCAATATCATGTTTCTACTTGGGAGTGGGGGCGTCTTGCATGTCACCAGCACGCTTTAGCGTCAAACTTAAGACATTATGTTTTCTATACTTAAAGGGGCACAGCAGCCAGAAAATGTAAATTGCTTTCCATGGCTTGATTTAATCTCCGACTGAGTTCAGATCTCTTAACTACTGATAAGAAGAAAGGTTACAAGATTGGATCATCCTACTGAGCTGATTTCTTCCTGATGAAATTTGTACCATGCAACATAACAACTACAGAAACCCATTCTTACCTGAATGAAATGAGTGACCACATGGACGTAGGCTCCAGCAGCTGCCAGAAACATACACAGGGCAAAACTGGCATAGACCTTCTTCAGGTGCTGCTGTGTTGAGGGAGTTCTAGGAAAGAATATTTGTAACATCTATTATTCCTAGACCAATCTCATCTCTAAACTAAGAATTATTTCCAATTTCCTAGGGGTAATATGTGAAAGTTGTATTACAACTTGAGATATTTTAAGTATATTATAATAAAAAAGAATGTTTTGAAAATTGTTTAAGAGAATCAAATGCTAGAAAAGGCCAAAGCCCAAATTTATGAATAATCAGTCCCCAAACATGAATAATTGACTTTTTGGTGATCACAAAACAACCCTTAGAATTTGGGTATTTTTATCAGGTCCTCTGGAATCTAGCCAAGTTCATTTGTTAATTTATACATATACAAATTAATAAACTATGAAAAGAAACCAGAAATGACAGAAAATGAGGTCAGGAATCAGTCAAATTTAAAACACTTACATATGAGAAAATTTTAGAAGGGCATCGAAGTTGATCTTCCGATCAAATATGTTCATGGTTCCAGAGTCTGTGGAACAGAGCCTCTGCTCTATAGAATTAAGAATAAAGAAAAGTTATTGTAAGGACACTATAACATGAAACAGTACAACTAACTTTCTTATAAAAAATAGCAACATACAAATTTGGAAAAATAAAAAGTTAATCTAAAATCTCACAGCCCTAACAACTATTTTCATTCTTATGTATGTGCTAGAATGTATTTACAACCATTTTAAAGATGACAAAGGGAAAAAACTGATCTTATTTCCACTCAATTTTTTCAGAAAGTAACTTGCCCTTTAAAAAATAGTAAGAGAATCAGACGTGGTGGCGCAGAAGGGTGGCTCAGTTTGAGAACAGTCTGTGCTGCATAGTGAATTGAGGGCCAGCCTGGATTACAGTGAGACCTTGCCTCAAAAATAAACAAAACCAAGAGACAAGACAAGCCACGCGAGGTGGCGCACGCCTGTAATCCCAGCACTTGGGAGGCTGAGGCAGGAGGATCGTTGAGAGTTTGAGACTAGCCTGGGCTACCAACTGAGCTCAAGGCCAGCCTGAACTGCATAGGGAGACCTTGTCTCAAAAAAGACAAATAAATAAATAAATAAATAAATGGTCTCTTATGAGCTCTACCCCAAGCCTCTAAGAAAATCTGTGATATTTTGCACTTCTTATTTTCCTTGTAAACTGTCAATCTCTTTATGCCACACATGTTTAGGATCTATACAACCACTGGCCAGTGCTTTGTTTCAAGTGACATCACAGTTGCTGCATAACTCATCAACAACATCTACTCCACATTAGGTTTGGCTGTACAAAATTTCCATCTCAGGCTTCTGTTTTACTGAGGTTTCCCTATCAATATTTCCATCATGGTGAAATGTTGACATTAGCAGTACCAGTTTGCTTTTCTTTGCCATAGATGAGACCAATGTTGTATCTTTCTGAAATCCAAAGATTGTACTATATAATTCTTGGTTTTGAACTGTAACATTTCATTTGGAATTTCTGCTTTGTTCCTGCACACAGTTCCTGTACTGGTCAACTTCATCAATTGGAAACTGGTGAACCAACTGTCAAATGTCACATTCCAATTAGTTTGGGAGAAGGGAGCAATAAGTCCGTTCACAACATCATTCAGTTTATTACTATATGAGTAAGGGCCAGGCGTGGTGGCGCACTCCTGTAATTCCAGCACTTGGGAGGCTGAGGCAGGAGGATCGTTGTGAGTTTGAGACCAGCCTGGGCTACAAAGTGACCTCAAGGCCAGCTTGAACTGCATAAGAGACTCTGTCTCAAAAAAGACAGAAAAAAAAATAAAATAGAAGATAGTAAGAAAACTGGGTGTGGTGGCACATGCCTGTAATCCCAGCAGTGGGGAGTTCTGTAGGAGTTGAGACCAGCCTGGGCTACAAAATGACCTCAAGGCCAGCCTGAAGCACAAAAGACAAAAACAAAAACAATAAAAGATAGTAAAAGGAATCTCAATTAGCAATCTAGTTAAAGGGACCCATAAAGCAATTTTATATGACTGTTTTAAAATGCTAAGAGAGGCCCGGCGTGGTGAAGAGCACCTGCACGCCTCTAATCCCAGCACTCGGGAGGCTGAGGCAGGAGGATCCTTGAGAGTTCCAGACCAGCCTGGGCCACAAAGTGAGCTCAAGACCAGCTTGAACTACAT